ATTAATAAATGGTATTTTGACGAGTTCCTTTATAGGTAGTTACACTCTATCCAATTACTGAACACTGCTTATGTTGATTGTGAACAGAAATGCAGAAATTCAACTGAAATTAGGAATTTTTCTGTTAGAGCAGTGACTGTTTAACTGAAATGTTTCTCAACCAGCATAGTCTTTGTCGACCCAAGTTGCCATATTGTATCAACAAGGCAAGATTAAATAAATAAAATAGATTGCAAGAGTCAAAATGATAGTAGCGTCATTGACAGTGAGAAATACTGAACATTTGAAGATATGGTTCGAGAAGAAACGATGAATTCTATAGAAATTCAAGCCTAAATATGTCTTTTCCCATAGGTCATACTCCGCTGTTATATAATAAGACCGAATGGACCCCTGAACAATAAATTCGCTTCATGTTTGATAGATGAACATCCCAGCTACGCCACAAATGACCTGAGTTAGCAAAAGCTAAGCAAGCACTTCGAATGTTTAAAGTTTCATGGGACACTGACTCATCACTACTGTTGAAACTTCAAAGGTATCAAAATAGGCAGAGTCGTTAATTGCTTCACTCATTCTGATCAGTTTACGCATTGAAGAAGATCAGTCATAAGGGAACATTTCGGATCGAGAGTGAGGATCCCATCCCGAGCATGGTTGGATGGTTAATCAAAGTTTATGAAACTGGGCTTTGTCAGAGTCTTTAATAAACAGGACTCCGTCATCTTCGTATGTCCAGTCAATATAGGTATCCCTTGGATGGTGATTAGTCCCTGAAGTCAGATGAAGGCATCATCTCTTAGAATATTTATAACGAAGTTAGATTAAAGGAGAAGAAGTAGTCCTGAGAAAGTCTGGCAAATCTAATAACAGTTCACCATGGGCTCTAACACAAACACTGGTGTCCGAGTATAGACACTTTAGAAGGTTTACGTACGACTTCGATACATCTTTCAGTGAACACTTCGATAAAAGCTCCACGTTGGGATCTTAAGTTGGAGCTAAGAAGGGATATGTGTGTCTGTTTTCTATCGAAGAGCAAAATTTGAGTCAGTAGATCAACAATCAGCCAATTTTTCTCTGTTTTGTTGCTACCGAATTCAACTCAGGCCTCGAACGTACTTGCTGGCCATTCTATGACACTCAATATGTGTAGGACTTAATTTGTCCTACAAATGTAATTCTAGAACGGTAAACGCAATATTGGCGAGCACAGAGTCTATGAGAAAGCTATAGTCAGAACAAGATAAAGTTTAAAGCAAAAGTTGATCTTGTTCTGACTATAGCTTTCCCATAGACTGAGTGCTCGCCAATATTGCGTTTACCGTTCTAGAATTACATCTGTAGGACAAATTAAATCCTACAATATGTACATGCGATGAGTTGACAGTTAGCCTTGAATATAGTTTAATGCTTAATTACAATACCAACTGAAACATTGGTTGACTGTTCGAAATGTGAAATAGATTTGATAGATTCTACATTTCAAATCCCCTAAATTAAGAAACGAATCCTATCTGACTAGGTCTATTAGATAGGAGTAAGGTATTTGTTGAGCATTTGATAAAACGATTCACCAGTTTATAATTCATAGGGAACTATCCACATACAACCATAGAAAAGAACTACCTGTCCTAAAATTTACTAGTTAATTTAATCTACAAGTAAACAAAAGATCTACAAGATGAAAATAACACCAAACGGATGATAACTGAAACATTTAAGGATTTGAACGTCATAAACAACCTACTAATACTAATCACTTACAGACTTCCATGCTAAATTATGAGCCATAACCGTTGCATGTAGTAACGTTGATGACTGACAATATTGTTCACTGACCAAAATCTCGATAAATGAAGAAGAACTCGAGTTTAAACGTTTCATGCCTAGACCACCAAGTTATAGTTGTAATGCCTACCACAGTATATATAATATGTCGTTTTATAACTTACTTATAGACATAAAACTATATGATCAAAACATACTGGATACTATCAAGGACACCAATCTCATCTCTGAAATAAGTTTTTATACTGAAATTCAACTTGTAACAATCATAGCTAACAATGACGTCACTGTTAGAAACATCAATATTATAAAAATATTAACATGATTGATTACCCAGTTGTAAAACAAATTACTCATTGAAATGCAGTAAGAAAAAATTTGAGTCACTATCAAATTAAATAGCTAGTGAACCAAAACTAACTAAATTACATGAACGATTGATTTACATTGATTTAAAAAATGTAACAATAATGATGGGTGGAAGAAATACACAAAGAATAACAAACTACACAATTGTTAAAACTGATAAAAATATAAGTAAAGAGGAAAGAGAAAAACAACTAACAAATTCTTCCAAACAATTAATAATATACGTGATATCATTACCAAAATGATTTCACTTGTTTGTCTACTAAGTAGTTGAACTTGTAAGTTTAACACAGTGAATTCATACTCAATGACAATAAAAATACTTAGAATTATGATAAATAGTCTATAAAAAGTCATTATCCTATCATGAACGATAGATAGACAAGTAGATGTGATCTGGTAATGAGTGTAATACATAATGTCGATCCAAGGTATAAAATAAATAGACGAAATGATGATGTTTCAATTGTTGGTTTAAGTAAATCGTCAAATCAAACAATAAATCAAAAAATATCAAAAGATAGAGTGATCATTAAGCAAAAGTTTCAAAAAAGTTAAAATTGATTATACACGTAAAACATGAAATTTATACAGGTTTAACATTAAGAATCAAATGATAGATTTCTCATTAACAAAAACTTTATTGATTTGCTTTGTCAGACTAGAGAACAATTAAATGAGTGAAATAAATCTCTACGGTTAATCTTGATCAAGAAAGTTTGAAAACTATCATGTAAGATATTCGAAGAGTTTCAATTCAAACACAGAACATAAGTAATTTGCAGATTTGAACACTATACTATCATTAATTTAGTTAGAATAACTGGGTAGTATAGTTCACTTTCATCGAACGTTTTTTCAGTTTAAACTTAGTCAATTATCATTAAACGTACCACTGTAATTGAAGTGAAGAATTCTATGATTATCTGATTGTAGAAGTGGAGTTTTCAAACTATCATGACTGACTGAAAACCAAACTTTTAAACCACTGCTCCAATTGAGAACTAATGAGGAATAAGAAAATGCTCAATTAAATTCACTGTTATTACTTCGACCTTCCATTATTTTTCTTTAAGGTGTTACCAACTACATATTTTGAATATTTCCGAGATAAGTAGAAATCACACTGACTCAATATCTCTTTTAGGCTCTCGAGCACAATAGATGAACAGGATCTGAACAGCCATTTATAACAAATGAAAAATACTGATCTGTGAAGTAAAATACTACTATTCTTCCATTTTATTGGGGAACACCTAAAATAATGTTTTAGTACGAAGCAAAATGAATCTTATTAAGTAAAGAGAGCAAATCAGTCAATGAAATTATGAGCCATTGTTGACTAAAACGTCTGAAAGGTATGGTGCACATACTAAAAAGGAACATGAACCATCTGACCACTAAATCCAAGTTGCATTGGATAATTTAGGCTAACTTGAGTAAGTTTCTTATGATAGGTTGGGACATGAGTTACATATGCCCAACCACCGACTGCCTCGACAAGTGATGTTTTGTGATGTAGAGGTAGGCTGGAAAAAAGCTAGTGGCAGCCAAACCAAAACATGGCACAAATCCATGAAGACATTGACAAATGGACTGAGCCATGTTAGTAGGTGTAGACTACCTAGTGAGGTCTGCGAGACAATAGTAATCGATGGTTAGAGACCTTGAATGATATGGCTCAAAGTCGTTTGCAATGATGCAAATGCATCCATTGTTTGTCTTCTCTCAGATCCTGATCTTCTGAATTCCTCATCACCTTTATCTTTCTATTTTATTTCACTGAATTGTACTTTCTGAATAATATCTTCAAACCCTAATGTTCTCCATTACTGCTAATACCTCTACTATTGCTATCACAATGTGATTTGAAATGACAGTTGCGTCTCTGTGCTTAAGCGGTTTGGCTACCTGAAATGATGTACGTACGAATGAATTTCTTTGATGTCGCTGACTGACTGAATATGATTGTAGGGATTGCCAGTTTGATAGTTGCTAAATATTATGGCTAGTGGAGATGTATCTACTGATTTGCTTTCCCGTGATATTTTATGCTACAATATTTCACATTGGAGTGATGAAAGACTACTAAATTTTCACACTAAAAAAAGTAACATTCTTTAGTGAAAGATTTACAAAAACATGATCGAATTAATACTTATAAAAGAAATTATTCAATATAAAATTGTTAGCGCTGAGTCATTGAAATGCGTGTTGACTTAAAAAAAAAAATTAGATTCTATCTATCGAAGGAATCATAAATTTATCAATCAGTTCATTTTATTTGAAAGAAAGGATAAAATCTTGTCATCTGTGTATTGAGAATTACTATACATTATAGATTATCTAGTACGTCGCATTCCTTAAATTTTAGAAAAAATATTTATTTATTTATTCAGTTATTACGTGAACAAATGATGTTTACAATCCAAGGTGCTAATAAAATAAAACTAGTCAGAATACTTAGTGTTAAAACTAGCAGTGTTTGATAATAAAAGTTCGATCTTATTTTATACAACTATTACAATATACTTAATTTAGCAACATGTATTTGAGCAATAAAATGTGAACGACACTGTTCAGGTGATTAAATTGAATAACGTAAAGTGTAAGTGCAACCATGCATAAACTAACAGATAAGTGTTACTTCATAGCTGGATTTCACATTTATTTATATGCTGAACACTTGGATGAAATTCTAAATTAATAGCTAGTCATACCAAACAGACTAATTAATAGAATAGTCAACATTACCATACCATGCAAATATTGCATAGGAAAAAGCTCAGTTTTTGTCAATTTATTATAATAAACCAAACAAAAAGGGAAAACGGACTTACTGGTTCTTCTTTTAAACTTCGTCTTCCACTTTCGAATGTTTTCCCAATAAACACTTCAGAAACAATAGGATCAGATTCAACAATATCTGAAGAATCACGGCTAGACGAAACATTAGATCCTGTAGAATGTAATAAATTGGATTGTTTCAATGAAATATTATTGTTACGTTCTGTAGTTTTAAGTAATTTTACACGATCATCTGATACATTAGTAATCAATTGACGAGTATTAGAATTACAAGATTCCATTATATCTAGTTCTGTGCATGAAGATGTACTTTTTGACAAAATAGACTCTGAAAGATTACCAGGTAAACATATACCGGAATCGGATTCAATTTGAGATTTTATTGGAACATTTTTAGATGGAGAGCAAATGAGAAGAAACTTTTTAGATCCATCTGATGAGTTTGTTTTATTTTCTTGTGAAAGTGTTGCTGCTGTTGCAGCAAGTCGTTTAGGTGTTTGACCAATAGACTTAACTCCAGGCATAGGAGATTGACGTTTATTTGAACGATTTATTCTTGAAGTTGAAGAACTTGCTGACAATGTAGGACTTGTAATTGTACATTCATCGACAGAATGGATTGTATGCTCAAGATTTGTTAAGGATTCATTAACAATAGACTGATTAGTTTTTTCATTACTAGAGAGAGTAGACTCCCATAATGCTTTAAATTTAGGCTTTCCACGAGGTGTTGATGTAAGTATGGGAGTAGGACTAGTAATTGCATTAGAAGATAGATTAGAACTACATGTAATAGATAATGGAGATAAGCTAGATGTTTCTACAGTAGAATTTAAATAATTTCCAAATGATGTAGAATAAGCAGATGATGTTGATGAATTAGTTGTAATATGTGATTTAGAAATATCTTGAGCTGTTGTTGATGCAGTAGCAACTAGTACAGTTGAACCATTTGCAGAAACATGAACTGGATAAACTGTTAAACCTGTTGATCCTAAACTTGATAAAATAGGTGTAGTAAACTCGGAATTAGATGTAGATGTAGAATGATGAATTAATTCGTTCACAGAATTGCATGTGGAAATAGTAGTACCAGTTGAAATAGAAGTAAATGGAATAGGAGAGAATCGAAATGAATTAGACATTTGAACTGTAGTAGTAGCAGTGGTAGTGGTAGTGGTTGGAACTGAAACACTAGATGACCACTAATAAGCAGAAATAGAAGAAAAGAATTATGAACAATAAAAAGTAAGATGACAGTTTTCTACTTTGAGACAATGATAAATTAACTTAGATGAATTTTTAAACTAGAAATAAAAAAATAAACATTTTTAAAGACTAAGCAAAACAAGTAAATTCTTTATAACAATTAAAAATAACACAGATAATAATAATAATAATAATAATAATAATAATAATAATAATATTTATAATATGAAAATGTATAGAAAAATAGAATTTTCGAAGTTTTTTGACCTAGAATAAGTCACGAAGTAACCGAAATTTTGCAAGTACATTCTTAAATTATTTATTTCTAAATGTTTCAATTTGTTCTCAAGCTATATATACTTAACTAGTTAGTGATAATCGTTAATTGCTGCCTACCATACCATATAACAAGTATGCATTATGCTAACAAATGGAGTTTACAAATGGAAGATGTTCTAAAGCTGGTCTGAGTTGACAGTTACGCTCATTAGCTAGTTCACTTCTCTTGAGACTTTGATCACCTACTGAAGGTTAATAGGTGAGAAGTTTTCATCAGCGATCCAAAAAGTACAACCTTAGCTTCAATCTGTGATGCGGAAAGGATCTTAATTTGACTATGGAAGGACGGTTAAACTGAGTAACGATTCACTATATATGCATAGGCGATTTATGTTGACATACATCTATAATAAGATCTAATTTGTTTATTTTCATCACTATATCACTAAAACATTGACAGGATTATGGTTTGATTATCGATACGTCATTTGAGCAATCGAATACCATCATTAACCTTCAAGCAAAACATGTGTACCCCGAAGCTGAACATATACAAGCTCACACTTGTTGGTCATTGAATGGTCCTAATGTGGGACTCCACAGAAGTGCGCATTCATGGCCCTACATGCGGAAATCTAACCCAAAACATTCGATCTCTTGAGCGAATGCTAACCTCTAAACCACGGAGCCGGCATCCAATGGTTTTAGAACTCAACTTCAAACTGAGTTAAAAGCCCCTAATTGTTTATTATCTTACAGAAAATATTTCTTCTATGATATTCGAAACCAACATATTGTTAGGGTTTTTAAAAAAACTCGTTCAAATATGGTTACAACAAAAGATCAGGTTATTATCAAGCCGGTGGAATCTAGACATGACGGTCTCACATCCCCCAGCTCGACATGATTTTTTTAAGTTGGTGAGTGTGCATATTCCAAGTTACTAAAAAGTAATCAGGATCCACTTGAACTTTAATTCAAACTCGGTCATTTTGAGAAAGTTGAATAGCTTAGTAGCATATCATTTAAGTGATTTATAGGATAGTTTCAAAGATCAGTACATGTGAACATGTGATACATATATTTTCGTGACTATCATTAATTTTTATTGGTTGGAGAATATAATCTACACTAGAAACAACAACATCGTATGATTTGTTTCATAAAAAAGAGGCATATGTTTAAATTACCATTCCACCAAAATTATAGAAATCTGAAGATACTTTTTCTTCACAATGATTAACTAGAACATATGGTCACTTGGAGACATTTCAACTGTGGTAAATATATCATAATCATACATAGTTTGTCATTCTACTAAACAGTCAGTGCTCAAAAACAAAGCAACGCTGCTTAGCAACAGATCAAACAGACTGTTAAAGGCGTGGCAATAATGGAAGCACATAAAATAGCAGTAAACCTTAACTATAAAAGACTGGAGTAATTATATTAGGTAAATTGGGGAAGACATGGACTAGTTTTACACGTAAAACAGTAATTGAATACAAAATATGCTACAGACATTGCATTTGTAACGAAACACGCCGGAATACTGATATTCTACAGTAACATAATCACAGCTCGTTACAGGACTTTATATCCTGGAATCATACATTTCAGTTGTAGTCCACTTTAATATATATTACTACTGATTTATTTCAGAATAACTATATAGTAAATTGGTTCAGGTATACTAGTTTATTCCAAAAATTAAGCGAAGTTAGCAATTTGAAAAGTACTTTCAAAGTTGAGAGATAGTTTTAAAAACAGCCTGACATTAGCTTGAAGTCCCGAAGTTAATAAGGCAAGAGAGAAAGACCAGGTAAATTGTGAATTCAATCAAATCAATGAATGAGTTCACTGGCCACCGATGACACTGAGCGGTGGTCGCGTCAGAAGATGAAGCATAAATTATGTCATTCTTGTGCATTATGATGGAACAGCCGTGAGTATTCACAGAATACTATGTCAATGATAAACCTCAATATAACGTTGAGTGACATTTTTTTCACCTGTATGTTACTCAAACTATGCTACTCAAACTATCCTCAATCCACGCAGTAAAGATGTTAGACGATATTCTCTTTGCGTTTGTGTCTAAGATATTTATTTATTCAATTCCAAACATGTAGAATTCGTTTCGATCACTAATCTCTTAAACAAAACCACTCTTTGAAACAGTGACTGATGTATATTATTTCATGATATATTTAATTGAGATAGCACAAACGAAAGAGTACTATTGAATTAACATTTTGATCGTTTTTTTGTTCGCTGTATTAGCATCCGTTAACAATCTATGTGTTACCTTAAATTATTCATCCTAACTTGTCGCTGCCACTCATATATATCCATGAGCTTGTTCAAACGAGGATATTCCGTGAAATCATCATAAAAAGGATATATTCATTAGAAAGAGTACACTAATCATTATAAATATCATACCTATTAAATAATAAGTAAAATACATGTTATATTTGTACCAAACAGGTTACTACAATATTCAGCTATAAGAACGAAATGGCCAGTTTGATGTAACAAATGACCTTGAAGTTCCGGTTAAAACTATTTTATGTATTTAGTCGTAAACATATATTATGAGTGCATAATTTCTAATTAAAAATACTCCCATTAAAACACTACATCCATTAAGGTATATCAAATGATAACGAAATCACATCACTTGTATTTTATTGATAACTATGACAAGTGATATATATTTACCCAATTCAGTTTGTTTCCAAAGAAGTTTTTAAAATGTCTAGATGATATCACCAGAACCGTTCAAAACTGAATTTACTCAACAGTCACTAAATACAAAACATCAGAACTGCTCACTTCATTCTTAACCCGATCGATTTGTCTGTTTGAGACGTCACTGTATTCAAATCTTAAGTGATTTCAGTTTATGATCATCTGTAACTGCATAAATAAAGCCTTCATTACGTAAATGTTTAACTACAGGGCAATATTCCAAATCGAAGTTTTGGTTCTCTGGAGTGGGTATACAATTAACAATGTGAAAATAACAGGAGACTAAAGTTCAACCCTAGCGATATAATCAAGAATGAGTAACGTAAGCAATACAAGTAGTTGAATTAATTACACGCTAGAATATAAATAATATTGGACGAAATAATTGTAGGAAAATTCCCAATAAAATTCCCGATAAAAAAAGCAGTTCCTAAGCTCTTAGTGACCAAACAAAGTTCAATAGATAGACTTTGAGTGAAACGGATGCATAGATTAGGAAATGGCATACTAAACTCTAAAGCCAACGAGTAACTGCTTAAGTACATATTTTTCAGAACCATTTCACTACGCATTTCCACAACGCACCCTAATTACGGAAAGAAATAAGATGATGACTACACGGGAAGCTACATATATTCCCGAAAGGCCGATCGACAATAATCCCAAGCGATGAGCATTTACAGGGAGCACACTGACCCAGATAACAACATATAGGCAGTCACTTTGATCAAATTAGCTCGCCCACATTTGCACTTCACTTAGCATGCAGACTTAAAATATCGTGCGATCTGTCTGGCTTCATTAAGTATATATGACCTGAGAAATGTGCACCCACTGAGTAAGTTATTTTAATTTTCTATCAACATCATTTTGTCTATTTCTACACAGTACACAGTAGATCTTTTTTGGTCATGACTTTCTACTTCAGTTGATATCATATGCTGTTCAATGCTGTAAAATTAAAATTGAGTCATACCAATAGTTAATCAGAGCCGCATGTACTAGAATAACGCAACTGACACACCCATAAACTCTCTTACTATTGAATGCAAAAGGGCGTGTCTTCATTGATCATATGTGCTGTTTCCCTAATTCAGCTGAGACTTAATGATAGTGATATGTTTCATTGAATGAAAATGTGCTTTATAATAATTTCAATTAATATAAATGTCGATGAAAATCAATGTAACAATCAAATAGTCGGATGAGATGTTAAAACATGTAACATCATATTGTTGTTTTATGCTGCCATAAGAAAAAGACAATATGTAACTATTCAACCCTAGTTTTCGACATACTTTGGGTGTAGAAATATTTGAACAAAATAAATTGAAATTATGAAAAATTTCATAGCCATTTTACATATACTCAATAAAATTTAATTAGAATTTAAGCAAAACATTGATTAAACGTTTATAGTCTATTGACCTGATTCGTCTTAAGGAAGTACAATCTTCTTTGTATGAAGCTCTTGAAGTGACAGCAAAGAAAAACTGACTGGAGATGTTCAACAGGTCTATGTGTGTCTTTGAATTTTAAGTAACTAGTTACTTTTTGTTGATATTTTCGTATCGAATTTTGTTCTCTTTGACCGGGGAAAATTTCTTCAGTTTTCACTGTTTGTGATGTTGCAAAGTATAATACAACTTCAATCGATGAGTTTTTTTTGGCAAGATTCTAGTGTTGCTCTTTTTCAATCAAAAATCATTGGGAGCTGTTAACACGAAAGGAGAATTTATGCTTCAGAAAAGAATATAGGCTGTTACTTGTTACTTTGTTCATGAGATCATTACACATTCCTGAGAAAACAATAAATCAATAACTTATTCCCTCGGGATTTCTTCATGTTAGAACTTATAAATATTTTAGTTTGAAAATTCCTACTAACTCTAGTGATCTTATTCATGATAAAATTCCCTCACAACTATATGTTTTAATAGTCACTGGATAAAATGCTTCATTA